CCCCCCCCCCCCCCGCCACACCGCGGAACACAAAAGCAGACAATGGCGGGTGGCGGGAGGGATATCATCGGACAAAAGGTCCGGGCAAGCGCCACAGTTTGCCCTACCCGCGCATCATGACGCGAACTCGGAGACAGCGGCGGACAGTGCGACAACAAACGGTTGCACTAAACACGTCCTGACCTGGCCAGGCGAAAAATTCCGGCCATCGCGGTTTCACGTAGCTAACGTGTATTGCAAGGGGACCATCTGTCTCGTATAAATTAGTGATTATCATGCTAATTGGCAATAAAGCTACTTTGGTAATGCAAATACACAGACTGCTCGCATAACTGACCACGAAACAAAAACTGTAACCACTGTGCAGACAACATGTGGTTTGTGTTTTCCCAACTCGTAGTCAGAATTGGTGTTTAATATCTGGATTTTTTTGGAATCACAGGTGGCTGTTTGCACGACGTTTTTCACTCGGATTTAAACCATCGACATTATAGCCTGGACACACAATTGTCCGTTTACATCGAACACCGATTAGGACATATCGTTCAGTTAATACTAGTTTCATTAATAACTGAACAGGACTCGAGAACCTTTCAAATTCTAGTGAAAGCGAAAAAACCTTTACTTGTAAAAACAAACGTTAGAGTTGACTGAGAAGGCCCAAAATAGCGCCGTTTTCGCGTCAACATCTGCTTGAAGCACAAATCAAACGCAATTTCTTGGCCGAAGTCACATCATTTCTTCCCCTGCCTGGGTAACAACCATTGATTTCTAAACTAGCGCCGATGAAAATTGCCTCTCAGAATTCCTCCCCCCCCCCCGTTTTCCCCTGCCCTCCGCGCTGTCAATTATTCTCGGGAAATTATACAGGCGGATTTTTTTTCCCCCAGCCGCGGCAAGCTCCGTTCCATTCCCGGTCTCCTGCCAATTCCAATCGCGCGATGCGAAGGATCGGCACCGGAGAGACGGCTCGGACAAACCGCCGAGAACCCTCCTTCGTCCGCATGATGCGTCCAAGACCCGTCGTCTTGTTCTCCCTTCATTGTCGAGATGTAAAGCGTCCATTCAGGCGGAAATAACAGCGCCATATTTTTTTAACGGAGGTTTTTTTCTGCTATCTCCGCCATCTTCCTATTGTGTGCACGGTATCTCTGTGCGCTTCTGCACGAATGGCCGGGCGCTCCCCCTGCTGCACACAAAACAAGTAGCGCTGGCAACCGCGCGGTTTTCGCCTGGCATCGCATTATCGTGCCTTCCTGCATACGACACATGCTGCAAGATACATGTATACATTTTTGGACGGCCCAACAAACCGATTTTTAACACAATTGTTGAGTCCGCGATATGTAACACGAGTGTACCAGAATATGACAAAAAGATGCGATCTACATCATATCTTTTCCACATGCTTTTAAACAAGCTTTGTCTTACTGGTTTGGCTGAAGAGGGACCGACGGACGCCAGTTACAGATGTCTTTATTGAATCAGGAAAAACGAAATATTCACGTCAGCGAAGACGTCATTCGGACCGATGGTCGTTTCCAAATTTTCTCGGGTGGTATTTTTCGTCCCCTGCGAATTCCATTTCAACTTAAAATTTTCTTCAAAGGAACAACAATACAAAATCTTTCATCCAGGGGAAACAAAGACGCATCTGTAAATGTAGCATCGCCGTATGAATAATGAGCATTTAAGTGCATGTCTGAAAAGGATTTGAATGGGGCTCTCAGAAGGCTTTTGAAGTCCAAAAAGGTTGCTTACCTTGAGCTCTTTGAAGTATAAGCTATTCCTGGCCCAGTCTACGAACGAGAAGAGAGTCTGGTCGGCAAGCTTGCAGATCATACTGAAGAAATCTCCGGGCGGCGTGAGGCTCATCTGGCTCTGCAGGAACGCGGCCACCTTGGCCTGGAGTTGGGTGTGGTCTGGTTCGCTCTTCATCAGCTCCAGGATGAGATTGGGGGTCTGGTCGGGCTCCGACTTGACCGGGTGGAGGAGTGGACTGGTGCTGGAGGAGGCTGAGGGAGGCGGGGGACTGGAGGCCGGGTTCTGATGGGCCATGGCGGCCGTGGTGTAGTTGAGGGGCTGCATCTGGTGGTGGTGATGGTGGTTGCTGCCGCTGGCAGCGGCCGCCCCCGGGTAGCCGTTATGCGACAGCGACGTGGGCTGCGGGATGTTCATAAGCGCTGCCTGCTTGTTGTTCATCATGGGGTCCCTTATGACCACGGCGGCCGGAGGGTAGAGGGGCGCGCTCTTGGACGCGGCCGCCTGGATGTTCTTGATGGCCATGGATATGTCCGGGTTGCCGGGGGCCGACACAGCCCGGCTGCTAGCGATGATGCGGTTCCGTTGTTGTTGCTTGAGGGCCCGGTCACGTTTGTACATAGGGCCGAATTTGTTGCGTCCACCGCGCATTCTGTCTGGTCTCACGGCTACAAACGGCGAAAAAATAGAGGTTTGGTAACAACCAGTTGAAGCACTGATCTACAGTCGTCCAATCTCGAGCACGACATTTCCCGACTTCATTTACCCAAAATAAAAACTGAAAATGAAGTCCAGGCGTAAGGGCTCCAAACAATAATTAACGACAATAAGAGAACTGACGGAATACCCACAGTGACCTGAGACGACATACCTTCTAAAATTACTACAGAAAAACGACCACTGGTTAAAACAGCCACCCTGAGTCGAGTCCTTGTTGTTTCAATATTTGTCATTACCACGGTCACACCAACCTGCATGCATTTCTACCCATGAGCAGACCACGCCCCCCCCCCGCGGTTTTTCATTTCTTGCGGTTTATGCATTCTGGCATGAAATACTTCCGACCCAATAAGTGGTATTAATCTATGGTAATAGCCGAGCAGAAAACCCGCAGAAACAATGCCGAATCTTACGGATCACTATTACTGTAGCTAATTTTGTACTACCCAATGAAATGTTCATTGTATGGTTGCCTAATAAAAACCGCATGGTTTTCACCACATATTTTCGCCAACTCACAGTGCCTGGTCTATACATAACTCCCGAAGGTTAACTGCACGCTAGACGTCGCACTCGACAGCATCATGTCGAATGACCATGCAAATGTAGGTGCATATTTGCCATGTTATAGCATGTTGCTTAAAAAAGGTGGATTCGGTAAGATCAAGTGTCCCGTTTTGCGGCAAAAACGTGCCCTTTTTTTCTCACTGCGAGTTATCTTCTGTGCAATGGCTGCCTTTTTTTTTGGTTGGGCGATGGTCAAGCGAGTTTGACTGAGCCGCCTCGCCAACCCCAGCCACAGTGAGAAGACAACTGGCGCCGCCTTAATTCCGTTTTAACACGATCATGATCAATTCTTATTCAGTCAATGGAGGTCCACCGGCCCTTGCTAATACATTTTTCTCTCCTAATTTCGCCCGGAAAATTTCCCCGTTTCTTTCCCGCGTCGCTGTTGGGCCTCCGCCGTCTGCCCGCATCTTTCGGCTGTCAGCGCCGTTTGTTTTTTCAGCGGTCCGTGCTTCGTTTATTGCGACAGAAAAAAAATAGGGTCTGGTGACAGGGCCACCTTTGTCTAATTCTTAAGAGACACTTAAAAGGAACCAGACTGTGATTTTGAGCTCCGAGAAAACACACAACCGCTTTGATATTGATCGAGTTGTTTTTTAACGGCAAGGTGTATTAAGTAACACAGGCTACAGAACCAAACTTGAGGATTATGTTGGTCAATTAATTCGTTTCTTTTAATAGGATCAAACGCCAGGTTGACCGTTAAGAGAAGCGCCGATCAAGAACTGCAAAAAGGCTTCCCAAGGTCCAGATTGTCAAGTCAGTAGCCATGCAACAGGATCACTCCTCAATGTCCAGTTATCGCACACGACCAAGGCGCAACATCAGATATTACGAATCCGCACAGACCTGGCTAACAGGCCATTGTAACACCAACCCAAATGGTATGTTTTATCACAGAAAAACACTGCTCACTGTGCTCAGCGAATCATTTGGGCACGAACGGAGTCGGGGACCAGTCCAAAACACTGCTTGGTTTCAAGGTGGTTTCCCCCCAGAAGCTATAAATACGTCCTCGCTGAGCGGATCTATAAACGCTTTCAGCTCAGAAGCACCGCCAAGGCTGGAGGGGTGATTGTTTAATCAATACAATGCGGCCAATTACAAGTTTAACCGAAAAAACTAACTTGTCTTAGCATTATCCCTCCAGTATATTGCAACACCATTTTCAATAATTCAGGCACTTCAGTATTCTCCACAGTTCATTCATTGTTCATCCTTCGGGGTCATGTACGCGACCACTGTATAACAGTCTTTTACAACGTACATTTAATATGTTGGGTGCTTTCAAAATCCTGCCATACAAAGTCATTTGTCATTACATCTCAATGAGAGAGAGACTAGGTGTCTTAACTTTCAGTGCTGTTAAACGTTTAATTAACGTTTAATTAACTAAACGTTTAATTAACTAAACGGGGAGAGGGGAGAGAGAGAAAGGGAAACTCACCTTCCAGTTTCATGCCGACTTTCAGGCACTTCTGGAACCGGCAGTAGGGGCACCTCTTCCGCTGAGTCTTGTCGATCAGACAGTTGCGGTTCTCGATGCAGGTGTAGACCTTCTTATTCTGCACCGTCCGCTTGAAGAAGCCCTTGCAGCTCTCGCAGGTCAGCAGGCCGTAGTGGTAGCCCGAGACCTTGTCGCCGCACACCGGGCAGAATTCGTCGAACTCCGGCTTGATCTCGCTCTGCTCGAAGTTGAAGTCCATCCTGAGGGGTGGGGCTGGGTAGTAAGGGGAGTAACCTGGGTTTTCAGTGATGTGAATGTGGGCGAGAGGAACCGTGGTTTGTACATTCCTTAGGTTTGTTTAACCACGGCAATACTGATTTTTTTTCCGCGAGGGGAAAAAGATTTGTCCTATTTTCCTAGTATGCAATTTGTTTGCTTCCAATATTTTATACATTATATTTTATTTATTTTCGGGGTTTTGGACATTTTTTGGTCCACCTTAAAACAAAAGAAGCACCTGAAGCGAATCGAAATGAAAAAAATGTTGGGCATGTGTACTTTCAGTCGAGACAAATCCAAACTTAAAATGTGTATTTGCATTCATGTTACAAACTGGAAAAGACTCCAGTATGGAGAGAAATTTGAAACTCGTCGGGTAAACAAACTACCTATAGTGCAAACTGCGTACATCGCGCAAGCCTGCCTCCCGTGTGCCACGAAAGACACAGCGCGACTGCCGGAACGGGAACGGTTCAATCGGGCCTATCACACGGCCGACATCTCCCCTCTTGTCCCGCTGCAAACAATACGAGCTCGGAGGTGGAAGAAAATCATGGATACAATAATGAACCGGCACGGTGTGAAGATGGTAAGGTCAGATGGTGTGCCATTACAAAGGACAAAAGCTTTCCAAGATTGAACACGAGGTCACGGTTTTTTTTGTTTTGTTTTCAATTTTATTTTTAACGCATGATTTTCAAACATTTGTGGCGCATTACTATTCATTTTAAAGTGAGAATAACCGGGGCAAAAAATAGACGATCAACCCCATGATCCTTACGGTGACTGGGTTTCTACCATCAATCAGTCAAAGTGATATAGGTTTAGCGGGGAACAGGCTAGGCGAACAACGTACGGGATGGCCTTACATTTCACTTTGACAGCTACGAACCACATGGACGAAGATTTTATTAAAAAAAAAATGTAACTCAGTTCTGTAACTGGCTTTACACTTATCATCCCAATCATGTGTGATCCACTCATGCAGACCAGTTCGCGGTCACCAGTTCTCTTAGAGGTGGATCGTAAAATGCAGCCGTCATGTTTTAGAAAAAGTCGCCCTTTCTGTGTAAATACGCTCAATTCAATTCTGCATAACCAACGTTTTAAAAACCTTTTCAGATCAGAAACAGTGGAAAGATAAATACGTGCAATGCCGGCGCAACTTCTCAGCTCCGTAGCTCGCTGTTTTTAACATCGCACTGTCGGGTGCAGCAGCCAAAAGTTTAAGGAGATCAGGAAAAGTTTACCATCAAATTAAGATAATTTGTTTGGGGATGAAACACCATCCTGAGGAAGATTTGGGAGCCATGACGATATCTATGGAACAGTAATTGTTTAACAGAAACCCACATTCAGTTCCACCGTCAACAGCGTTGGTTTCAGGATGAACAGGCCGGCTCAGGGGGGTGTTACTTGGATGGATCCTTCACAAGCGCAATATATATGATTTATTGTGTGCTTCATGAGCGGACCCTGTAGGATTCCGAGCATGGAACACGCCGTTTTGTCCCTCACAGGTGCATGCGCGATCATGATTGAGCCCTGCAATGCTGCTACACAATCTGACAGACAAACAGCCGGGTTTTTTTTCACAAGAAAATGCGAGCGGACACGCCTGGGTAGGAGACCGAACCAGCAGGAGGCTGTTGATGTAACTTGGCCATGTCAAATTCAAACCACTCGAAGTTAAATCCCGCTATAAACTTCGTGAATCTCTCTCTCTCGCCGAAGCGATCGTTGGGGCTTGTGTCTGAGCCACCTGCGATCGGCCTAGGCTATATGATGCCTGGTTTCCCAACACTCGGATCCAAAGCCTCACCCAACATCCAGGCAAAGGAAGGAAGCTTCAAATAATGACAAATCAGGACCTGGGACTATAGGGCTGTGGGGAATATCTGAATAACCGAGAATTCGATTGATTATCGAATATTATTTTCTTAATTTGAATATCCAAATGCAAAATTCATGAAAGAAAAAGGGAATATCTTTTTTTTTTAAATAGAAAATTCACTATGGAGGCTTGATTCAACAAGATTCAAAAGCGTCACAAATCTTACGATTCAAAAGGTAAATTATTCATAAACAATTTAAAAGGAATAAAAATTTTCAACGGGGCAAGAAGTATTGTTCATCTCTTAAATCTTGCTAAATCGTGGCTGGAGATAAAGCGAAGTCATACACATTACTATCGTAAAGAAGCTACTCGCACCAGCCAATGGAAGCTGCGTCATACGGGCAATACAGAAAGCACAGACTATTGCACACAGATCTAGTCTTTTATTTACCCCTTGTGTAAATATACCTATCGATCCCAGACAGCAAATAGTCTCTTCAAAATCACCGGATCATACGTGTGGAGGGTTTACGGAACTACTTATTTGCACAACACACAAGGCGCAGTGGACTTTTTGTTGTGTAACTCTATAGAATCCGCACGTGCATGTAAATTGTGACGATCGGTGCACCGGGGTTTTCAACAAAAGTGCACGACTACGCTACGGCAACCCAGTCCCGGATAGCCCTGAGAAGTACAGTACAGTACATGTACATGTACAGTACATGTACGGCGCCATGGTGCGTCGCATTCTGACGACTTTTGCTCTTCACGCCCCGCTGAGCTAGCTGTACGGGTTCAGAGGTCACCGGAATGTACCATTTCCGAATCCAGGCATACGAGAAACTTTCTCGCTGTGTGGAACCGAAGCACAGAATCCACTATACAAACCACGATATGAACTGTCCAATGTCCCAAGGATATGTCGATACGGAGTTGAAATAATATTGATCACGACGGTGTTGCACAACATTCTGACAGGTATTCGACGGGCGATGACTAAGTCCCTCTTATCGCCAGCAGATTTCGTTTTAAAATAAACGGAGCATTTCGAAGTTCAACTTCTCCGGGTCCAATCGCTCTTACCCAAGCCACTGAATTCATGAAGTTTTACCGCACGTATCTACGTCAGTGTTAATGTCACGAACGAAATTTTACGACAAACGTAAACGAAACAATATCAAACGTTTAGCACGCAAAGGTGTCGGGAATGGTATTTTACTGTGCTTTACAAGCCACTTTCCATGGCAACTACAATGTTGAAAATGTTCCAAATTTAAGGCGTCACCCACAATTGTATCTTGAAAATCCACCAGATCGATTTCTCCCCCTTCGTTAGGTAGGGCCTACCGGCTAGCCTGCATGCCAACACGAACTCCTATGTACACGACTTGAATGTCCACATCGAAGCCATTGGTTTCTAGACAGCATGTATGGAGACTGTAATCATTCCCCTCTGTCCATTGATTTCTTCACTTATTAGAGTGAAATGTACCACGTGATTACTCTGTTATATTCTTGGGCCATTTTCAAGGAGCTACGGACCGACATTTTGGCAATGAAAAATGGCAAAACCAAAAAGGTCACCGGATTAGCTTTTTGATTGGGCACATTCGTTGCAATGACGACAGTTTCTCAGAACGAAACCTCATATAATTCCGTTTACTAAAATGACCTACAACTGCCTCATGCAGAAGAACTCGGAAAGCTTACAGGAATTGAGATTTCCATTACGATAACGCCAGGTTCTCACTGACAAACAAATGAACCCAGTGTCACAGAAATGCCCACAATCAGTGTTTGCGTGCAAAAATGGGATTGCGGATTTAAAAATCTTTCACTTTTCGTGAGGTACCATTTTGTGGGTGATATGACAGAAAGGACGTTAACCCGAAGCCCTGTATGGTGCATGTAAAATCATGTTGCAATTAGAGGACTACAGACTGTTATAATGTAACCAGTTTCTCCTGTCATGAACATGAAAACGCTACTTAAAAGGAAATCCATCCCAGATATTTCTTTAGGAAAACTGGTCCATCAGCACTGTTGCAGGTCCATAAATATTCCACTGTTTTTACGACAAAAGCGCTACCACTATATTACTGGCTCCAGCACCTTAATATGCAAGCTTTTCCCAATTTATGACGGTAGGATTATGCATATTCCAAAGCCGTGCGAGCACGCAGAGGGAAAACAATAACTCCGCGGTACGAGAAGCCATGAGTAACACGTGACGATGGACCGGTCATGCAGATAAAATTATCTGACCGATGTTACATAACGTTTCTAAACAACCAGTGGGCAGGAGGGTTTGTGCATAGTGACAGAACGCGGAAATAGTGCCGGATATTTAACTAGTGAGCGGTATGGTGTGCATGTTACGCAGAAATTTAACCACATTTGATTTCATAATAAAAAATATAACTTATGGGTAAAAGCAAGTCAAGTACGAGAAAAGCAGAACCGAAAACGGAAAATTTTGTTGGCCAGAGAGCGCTAAATTACGCGTCGGAAACTTCGGAGTTGTGTCTTTGTGCACGACGTCATGCCGGGCGAAAAAAAAAATCCAGACTGGAGCAACGTGTATTTATAACAACAGTGCACCAGAACAAACTGTGGTTCAAATTGTTTTCTAATACTTCGAGGGCCCGTGTGCTGGCATGTATGTCGTGTTGGCAAATACCCCAAACTCTCGTGGCCTGGAGGCTCTAAACGGCAACAATAGGGGATACTGGGGAGGTGGGCGCCCCACAGCACTGCGTTCGTGCCTGGGGGGGTTTACGAGCGCTGCCGCCGGCCGGTCAACAGCGCAGCAGGTCCTAGTACAATGCTAGCACACGAATAAACGATGCACATGTGTAACACAAAAAATCGTACCTTTTTGTAACTACATGCATTATGAAAGAGTTAGGTACTTGGGTTGCCCCGGCACACTCGGACACGATGGTAATCATAACCAGTCTCAGCAGATGGTGACGAATTTCGTGTGGACTAAAATTTTTGGCACCTTTTGGTCAAAGGAGAGGGCACGAAAAACACAGAAACAATCATAATAGCAGCATAACGAAGGTTGCCATTGAGAGAGAAGAAAACAGGTATATGTAAATTTGCACGGACCCTTTGCTTCAGAACATGCAGCTCTACGGCCATTGTATGTGGTTTAACCCTTCACTCCCGCAGGCTTAATCAGGTGAATTCTTTCAATCCTGATTTTTTTTTTCAATGCAGCCAGACAGCGAAGGGAGTTCAGTTCAGTTTTGCGGAGGGTCTGAATGCATTGGTGGGAAAAGAGGTTTACTCGTGGATAATGGAACTGAGTATTAATGGTGGGCCTTTTCTGTAACGAGGCCTCCACGTATATCAAGATTACATATATTGGAGCCAGGAGCATCGCCATGTATATGTACTTTCTCCGCTACCTTCCGCGTTGTAGGAGGAGTGTCACTGTACGACAGTGCGAGTGCTATGGAAGAGACACGTATCACACACAGGCTTGGAGAGATTTCAAGTTTGTCGCGGCTTGTCAATGCGAGCTTTTTTTTCTGCTTTTGGAGACACTGTCACAGGAGACATAAATATCCGGTTTCCCATCTTGTGTAAGGAATAGAAAGGACTGCTTCAGAGAATGGGGATTTTTTTGGCAGACTACAACACGAAGGTTGAAAGGTGTCTCTCACTGAATTTACCCATTTGGGGAAAAAACGAGAGGCCGTCTTCAACTTCTGGCGACTGTGACTCATGTTTGACGACGATACACGCCAGCACGATCCAAAAGTACTTTGAACTGAGAAATCCTACCAACAACATCTGGTTACATTTAAGAACGTATAGAGGCACATCCTGGGGCAATAAGGGTACATGAAATCCCTAATAACAATATGCTCAAGATATAAATATTTGCATTGATTCATTTTCTCTGTCGGCTTAAAGGAAAACACGTTTGGGTTGGGTCTATAGAAGAAACCATGTGTAAGCATAAAAAAAGTTCATTGGATTTATCTAGCAAGTGGTCAGTTAGTGTCTCCGTGGGTATGCCATTAGACCAGTGATAAGAAAATAAACAAACGAATCGATAAACAAACGAATAAACAATTAGATCCACGAATCCCTTCCTTGTTAACAAAAATAAACAAGAGCAATGTGGCATTATTTTATTCGCACGTCGGTATAAACGAGTAGCCGCATAATGAGGGACGGGCTTGTCTCAGCAGCTCGGTGAGAGAGGCGAAGCGCACCGTCGAAGCCACGAGTAAAGTATTTTCTCTTTTCCCTACTCTTAATCAGCAGGCTTTAACACAACAGTATGTGACTAACCTTGACCTCGCGGGGACACACCATTCTGCGCGGCAGTAGCCGGGTCTCCGAGCCCCTCGGCTTCCATACACAGGCCGCCCACCTCTGGTGGCACTTCGCCCAACTCCACGCAGCTCATCGCCCCCTCAACAAACCCCAACACCGATTTCGGACGAGTAGCTCGCTAAAATAGGGGTCTGGCAGGGTCCCAGGATCGATTGGGGGCCAAAAAAGCTCGATGCCCCCCTCACCGATGCTGCGAGAATCTCCTCAGATGGATAAAAACGTGGACAGTCGTATCGCCGAGTAGGGGGGAAATCTACGGTACAGTACCACACACACACGCACACGAGTCCGCGGTTTGACACGAGCTAGCAGGTTAGCTAAGTGATATGCTAATGTGGGCCCAGTTGAACGTGATGAGAACTACCCTTGTGCGCAGGTGCCGGACGCCGGTCTAAATATTCATGAGAGGTAGTCACGTTCGCATATTAGATCAGCCGAGTTCACAGCCCGGCGGCGCTGATTGGCTAGGGTGGTGGCGGCGCAATCTGGATCGCGTGAGAAACTTGGGCGACCGTTCTCATGGTCGGCTTTACGCAGCGGGTTGCTATTTTCAGTGAGAGCGCCTGGGTTTTTTAAGGAGGAAGGGACATCTTTCCGGGAAAACACAACACGTGAATCCTGGTGTCTTCCCGAGGGTGATCACGGCACGAGAAGGAAATACAGACTCGTACTTTGATAATTTCATTTGACTAGAACAATCTTTCGAAACAGAAAACAACGTGCAATCATGAAACAAGCAGATGATATCATTAGTTCATAAACACAACAAAATGGATTCACAAACCAACTCGCTCTACCTAATGCGCGATGTGTTATTCTTTTTTAACCCTTTTGGCTAACAGTATGGGGAACATACTACTTGGAGAAAATAAATTCTTTCCAGTTGCACAAACGTTGAAATTCCGCATTACTTGTCTCCTAAGAACTGTCCTCAAGAAAACCCGTCGGACCACTCTGCGTGGGTGGCATACACTTTTACATTATTGTGAAAAATTTGGACATTTCTGAAACGGTTCCCATACTGAGGCGAGACCTTAATTTTTTTTAGGTGCTTACCAATGCTGCTCATTCCAAAACTAGAGTTTTCTAGAAAAATACCAGCTGGAATCTCCGCGAACGACTGGATTTCTATTACTAGTAAAAGTTTGCAATGCGGATGTTTACACACGCATTTGTTCTTTTTAACTACATACCCAAAACACACATTCCTGCAGGCATTGCATCACACAGGAAACGAACCAAAATGCGGAACCATCACTTCTGTTTGTTTTTAAATTCTAAATGGAATAAAACGAGGATGGTTAGTTGAACTGTATGCGTCAATTAAAACCAAGAAACAAACGAAAATCTACAAAAAAAGGTAGTGTTTCATTAAAACCATTTATAAAGCTGTCGTTGCATGTGCTACAACTTACCTTTAGTCATGCTATCCATCGGCCCATCACTATAATCCTCTAGGGCAGGGTGGGTGGGGAACAGGTAGTCGACCTGTTCAGGTAACATTGGCATTGTTTGCTTGGAGGTTGTCAAACCACGAAAAAAAAGTCCTCCGAGTCTCAATGACACAGCGTGGAGAAAAAAAAGGTAACCAAGAAAAATACACCGAAATCGGAAGTTCCCCTATCCTTGGCAGCAAATTATCAGGTTCGGAAGTTTCAGTAAGCTCCGGGTTTAAACTGTTCGCTCGCTGGCCCGATGCGAATGAGCGGTGTGGCCGGGTGTCGCTGGTGGAAATCACCGCTGACAGCACGGCTGTTGACAACACATGTGATCGCTCCTATATCTGACCGGCCGGGAGGCGTACCTGACACAACAGCGGCGAGAGCATCATTACGGAATTCTACGAGTAGCTCGGAAGCTATGGAGTTATATAGGCACAGTATCAGTCGCGTGGTCTGCTCATACACTGTATTCTGCACACGCATGGACATGCATCGTACAGTACATGTACAGTACATTACGTGTAGTATACTCTTATGCTGTATCACATAGTCTGCCAGTTAGCAACCTCATTCCCATATGGTCGGGCAGTGCGCTCTCACAGCTGCCCACTATAGATAGCAAGCGAAAATACAAGAAACCCTGGGGGAGGGGTTGTGCCAAGGCTACGTGAGAACACATCCTCACTGCGCAAGCGCGTAACAACCGCTGCCCCGGAGCTGAGCCACTACGTCATACGCGTCATAGCCTGCTCATGAATATGACCAGCAATCCACCGTAAAAAAAAATGTACACAGACAGAATCGGACAGAAGCAAGAGGGTATAGTTCTTAAAACTGTTTTTGTTATTAAATCACGCGAGTGTTCTGGAGTTATTGTGTACACGACTTAACCAACCTTTTACGATGTTGTTGACAATAGGGGACTGTGTAGGCCCACTGCATTTTCCAGCGTGGAATTTTTGTCTGTCATTTTACTCTAATTCATTTTTGCGATTGTTTGTGTCGAGCGACAAAGTGGCGACCAAGAAAAGCTATCGAAGTTCCGTTGGTCGCAGACACAGTTTCAGTCGAATATTAAGTAATTTGCATTTTTTTTGGGGGGGTGGGGTTCTGAACTGAGGGAGAAGGAGGTTTGGGCTAGAAAAAATCCCCTGGGTGCGAGACAAAAGTCTCGCCATCGCCTTCTCAATCCAGGGAAGAGTTAATGGGCACGTAGTTTCTAGTCGACGCGGCAGCCTTTCTCTTAAACAAAAATGTGTATCGATTTGATTTGTTCAAGCTTAATTAATACGGGCGATTCATTATAGCGCACTTCCAAGAGCTTGCAACGCTTTGACCAATCACAATGCGCGAAATCTGTCGACCCAATGTGCTTTTGGAAAGGGTCGACGGATTTCGCGCATTGTGATTGGTCTACGTGTAGCAAACTCACGAAGGTGCACTATTGTAAATCGCCCGTATTAATCCACCATTTTCTCATCAGGGCAATGGTAAACTTTATTCGACTGCTGTTTTTCAGTACTGAAGTGCGGTTTTCCTACCCTCCAAAGAAACGGATGAGGAAGGTGCGAGAAAAAAAATCATCTGGTTTTACTGGAAGCTTGAAACATGTCAAAAGTGCAGACCATTTCTCTCGGTCTTCTTAATGCTTTGTTTTGACAAAGTTCTTGGCAACACCAACATAGGTTCAGAGAGAAGGACAAACACTCCCTGTGGTGTCGGTTTTCCGAGACACGTGTCAATATTCAAGCCCAGTATTTCAGACAGTGCTTGCTTCGCGTTGTCAAACTTGACATGTTTGGTGTGAGAGAAGGCGATGACAGTTACGATACAATTACACGTCCATTCTCAGCTTCCATTTTTTTTCAACTAGTGATGGAAAAAATGCTGAAGTTGTGATTCCAAAAAAGCGATTAGCTCAAAAAAGGCCAGACAGCTTAACCTGGATTTACCTCTCGTGTCTTCACCACTACATGTTTGCAAAATGCCACGCGTTTGACATGGATCACAGGGGAGTTCTTGAAGCATGCCACACAGTGCGGAACAAGAATCCGACAACTCTAGAACACTCTAGCACGTCCCGCGCGCACTGTGAAGCTGACGACCGTAAAATGTGACCAGGTCTTTCATGAAAAGGAAAACGAATTTCCCTTCAGGATTTACATTCAGTAACATCGAGAAGGGAAAGTGGAAATGAAAGGGTGAATGCTCTCTTACCCAAACATCAAAAGACAACACTAAAACGAATACGAAAGACTACAACTTGGACAAAGATCTGAACAAAAAGAGCTGATGTGACAATATCAGTTTCAGTCTTCGAATGGGGACAGTCGGTCTTGCACGCAATTAAAGATAAGGTATGGTCCACTTATCCTTTTCGGCCGTCCCACGAATGACCGCTATCACGGTCCAGCATCTGTAAAAACTCAGCAAAGGTGACAACTTGGATACGGTGACGGTGGGGTGGACAATAGGAGGGGGGGAAGATTAAGTGATGGTGAAGAACAGGAACTGGGGGCAGGAGGGGGCGCGGGACATCTGTGGCGGAAGGGGAGGATTTCGACTCAGAGGTACAGGTGCGCCCCATCGAACGGAGTTCTGATTTGGTGAAGCTGAGAGCATCATCGACCGGGCCCGTGCATCACGGGAGGTTCTCTCGTTTAGACTCTTAGCAGTGTCACACACATTAAATTTACAGGGATTAAAGGCAGGTTTCGCGTATAATTCAACTATAGGAGGTCAGGTTTTTTGAGTGTACAGAATGTTTGGTACGCGTTCAAGCTTTTCTGTCGTGCAATGAATAAGTGAACGTTTGCTATCCAGTGCAGATCTCTGGAAAGCAAACCAAACCAAAGCAAGCAATACAAAAGTGTTGGAGAACACTAATGAAATAACAATTCTGACTTCATCTCCGCTGTGTGGAGTCATTACGAAACTACTACATCCTGGCCCTCTATAACGACTGAATCCCGGGCCGCGGCGTCAATGTACTTTTCCCCCACTAGTATTCGACTCGACACTTGTGGCTCCGCCCACGCGCGAACCGTGCCTAGGTCATCATATCCATTGCTGTGTACATGTACACTTACTCGTATAGTGCCGGCTGGGCTGTTCAATGCAGCCTCCCCCCCCCCCGTGACCGTCCAACAAAGCCTCCCGAACGCCACGGGTATGATACTGTCCGGCCGCAGCGCGTCCTGATGCTATCCGCCCCGGGTTTTGATCCGATTCTACGAGGTGTTCGCGACGCTCTTGAATGCTCCCCACCATGCACAAATCATAACGCACATAATTAAATACTAGCAACGTATCCAGCCCAGTGCCCACCTTTTCTTGCGGAGTCCTTTGATCGGGGGGTTCCACTTCCTAAAAATCGCGCCTCCAGACCGACGGAACCACAACTTATTATTGACTCAACCCATTCTGAAACAGCGACCAAATTTGAAAAGCGGAGGCGGAGACACGCCCATATGAAGCAATGGCAACTCCGGTAAACTGCGCTGTCATGCAGTTCTGCTTTGGACGTACTTCTAGGCTCGTTTATTGTTGGAGTTTGCCTTTTGCTGCTGGGATTTTCTTCATAATTTTGCTGTTAACTCTGGCATTTTGTTCCATGTTGTGCGAAGAAGGTTATTTCTTCTTGACGTGTTCGTTTAGGAAAAAAAAATAAAGCTCGTGGCTTACAGACAATCATACAGAGATGACGTCGTTGTGACTCAAAGACAGTTCTGGATCTAGTTTCTGGAGTCGCTTCAGATCTACAACTAGCCCTTTCGACCCAGCCCAGAACAAGCAAAAGGACAGAGATATACAAGAAAATGCGCCAGTGACGTTTTGTTGACGTTAGTAGGCCTGCCAGTGCACTCTTGCCGTGTGTCCCAGCAGTTTACAACATTTGGCACACTTCCTCGAACTTCTGGCGCCGTGTTCACAGGTGAATGGGCCTGTTGGAAAACAAACGCGTCTGTATGAAACCGCTGGTCGTCGAGAAAGACAGACGAACGGGAGGACTGCGCCCAAATTGCACAGAAAAGCACAACTGGTTTAACGGACTTTCGGGGGTCATGAATTCTGGGTTACTTTTCGGGGAGAGCGAGGTATGACGGTATTTACAGCGACAAGCCGTCGCGTGAGAGAATCGTGAGCCGAATTTTCAGTCAGGGCGTCGTCGGGGCGCGGTTTCTGCATAGATGGCGATCTTGGGACGAGTACAAAAAATGCATGCATTGGCGGTGCACCTATTAAGGTGGACAAAACATAGGCAGCCACACCAAACTTCAAGAAGAGCATTGTAGAGGACTCATACACGGGACACGTGTACTGAAAATCAAGAAATAGTTACTCGCAATATTCCATATAACAGACGTGCGCTGGTAAAAAATTAGCTTTTTTTAAGAAAAGGATTTGCCAACGCAACAAAATACTTGTGCACGATATCCGTGGACGATTTTTCATCGATAGCACAGCTCACCACGAAGCGGGAACTCGGAGGGGGGGGAGGCCTCGGTCACTTCAGGAAAAGATCCATTTCCAGTGTGATTTGCCGCCACACGCATTTCCTCCTGTGATAAAGTCTTAATCAGAAATCTAAAGCGTATACTACATGTACCGGGGATTTTCATTCTTATACGTGGAGGGAAAAAAAACACATATCGCGGAATTTAATGGGCTTGCCAGCTTGGCGAACTGAAAAGTTCGCACCAAAATGTGATATGGCATAGGGTTGTAGGCCAGGATACATATAAACTGCCACAGGAAACGGTCACCGTTTGGAACATTGATGCCTGCACTTTGTTGCAAAATATAGCCACCTGGAAGGTTCCGCGTTATCGAAATTTCTCAAAATTCAGGCTGGAAGTCTTGCCGCTGGCCAGTGGGCCATCCAGGTCTTGGGCCCGGGGTGACGAAATGGAGTTTTCTTTTCTCTAAATCGACAATCCATTTTTCATCTGTAATAGAAGGTTCATGTTACCAAATGACATAAACTTTGCTAAGATGCTGGCGCTTTGAATTCCGATCAAGAATCGTCAACATGTCCGAGGGAAGGGATGGGAAATTGGTGGTGGCTTTCACTCTTTTTTTACATAAACTACCCCAATATACAGTATTTGAGGGGACTCAAATAGTGATTTGGCCATCACATCCAATGTGGGACCTATTTACAGGCCTGCAACTGTACGGTTGTCTGGTTATCAGACGTCTGCGCGACAAAACTGAGTTCAGTTGAAGCAGTCCCACCAGGTCACAGATAAAATGCAAACCAAACTTTTTTAAGACTCGATTTCCATAAAAAAATCTGATGGGAATTATTCTGTTCTGCACTTTGTCACAATCCTTTAAATAACATGGAGCATCACTGACGCAATCGGCTAAAATTAAAATCATGGACAGCAGCCTTAAGCCTCGGTTAAAGATTTTAAAAATACAAACATTCACTGTTATCATTACCAAAAAAAAAGACACAAAGTTTAAAAACCTAAGAGACACAAAAACATACAACTTGCTTTTGGAAGGAAACAAAGTT